CAATATTTATATTATTTAATAAATTTATAAAAAATAAAATTAATTAATGTTATAATTATTTTAATTTTTTTAATTAAGTCAACTCTATCGAGTTATTTTATTTTAATAGATACTATATTTTTAAAATATAAATAAATATTAAATTTTAAATAACATATTTATATAAAGTACATAAAATTTTATATTCATAATAAAAAACAATTTAATATGATTTAATAGTTAGATTAATTAGTTTTTTTTATTTATAAAAGGTTATTAAATGGTGTAAAAGTGTAAATTTTTTTACTCTAATAAAAATTATATAAAATATACATTAGTGTTTTTTAATTAATTACCAGTTATTTCTTTTATCATTTTGAGTATCGTTATCTTTTTGTAATACACCTAAAATATATTAAAAATTACAAAAATAATGTGTATTTTATTTTTTTTCACTTTCAAATTATTAATATTATTTTTCTGTTATATTTTTTTAATTTTTAATAAATTTTAACTAACAGTAAAAAAAAATATATTAAAGAGAGTTGTTAACATTTATTTTTTATAAAATTTCGTTAAACGAATCTTAAAGCAAATCCCTCTAGAGTCACCAGTTTCCATCTTAACGAGAGAAGATTTGAATCTCCCTATAGTCTTTTATTAGTCTTTTAAGGGACATAATAATAATAATTCGTTGTTGGCTTGTTGCAAACGTCGGTCCCAATCTCTTTTTGGCAGTTCACATCTTTTAACATACTACCTTGTTACCTTTTTTTACTTCTTCCTTTTTATTATCACTTGGTTGACTCTACTTGTACCGTTTTTATTTTGAATTATTTTTAATTGTTTATGAATTTATGTTTATTATTTAATTTTTTTAATATGTATTTAAAAATATAAAACAAAAAATTAATAAAGGAGAAACTATTTCTCCATATGGGATTGATTGATAAGAATTTCGCTGTCTGGGGTAATTTATGAGTGTTGTAAAATATGTTGCCGACACATTATTAAGTGTCGGCAACCCAAAAACCGACACTAATTATGAATATTGCTTGTATCGGCTGGTTGTGGTCCGACACATGTGTATCGAATAAAGTTTTGATAATACTTGTGTGTTAGCTGAAAGAATGCCGACACTCATTCTGTATCGGTTGCTTTGACACTGACACATTTCTCATTCATTCTCTTGTCCACTGGACAAAAGCAAAAGGCAGACTTTTATCCAATTAAAATGCATATATATAGGCATATGATTGTGCATCGGTTGCAAAACATTTTGAAGAAACTTTGGTAGAAAAAATTTCAGGTTAAAATGTTATTAATTTACTGTTTTAAATTTTTTAATTATTGCAAATAAGTTTGAATTAATCATTTTAATATTATTATGAATAAATGAAATTATAAATATTTTTAGTAATAAATTAAATTATTTAATGTTAATATAATATTATTGAAAATATAAATGTAAATATTTTTATTTTAATTTTTTTGTAATATTTTTTATTACTATTTGTTTAGGTAAACTTTTGTAATAATTTTGGCTGTATTTTTTAATTTGATACACAAGATGACTGAAATTGTAGTTATTTTATACTGGAATGGAAGAGTGTACGAAGGAAATGAGGGTATCATATTTGAAAAGAATAAGAAAATTATTAAAATAGAACGTGGAATTACTTTTGAGATGTTGAAAAATAAATACATACAAAATTGAGATTGTGCAATAGTAATGTAATTTCTAGACTGATTTCACAAATTTTAGTTGATTCAAGGAGTGGAAACAACACAATTTTAGATGTATGTAATGATGAAGACATTGATTGTATGATAAGTGCTTGTTAAGAACAATATCAAAGAAATATAGTTGAGTTATATGTGGATATTGTGGTTGATGAAACTTCTCATGTAGCTGAAAATTTGTTATGTTTAAATTTATCACTCTCAACTGTTAATGTTAGTGACAATGAAGAAGAGTATGCAATTGGAGGAGGTAATGTATAATATTTATTTAAATTATATGATGTTTAAAATTTTATAATTTATTAATAAATATTTGCTGCTGCATCTAAGATGAAGAAGATGAGTACGATGATGACTATGAAGATGAAGGAGAAATTCCTTTAGATAGTTCTTCTGATACTGATTTGGAAGATGACTTCGATTCAATGATGAATATTCCAAACACTGAAAGAAATAACGATATTCAAAGACGATCTACAGGTATAATTTTATATAATACAAAAATTGTGAAATATTTTTAACTAACATTAGTTGTGTTGAATACAGATTCTATAACACCTTTTTGAAACATAAGTTCACACTACGCTGCTATTAATTGGGAACATCCTGATCAAGAATTGGGTTTTTCTGAGTTGCATTCGTCACAATCATGGGTATAAGGAGATGCATTATATATTGACAACTATTTGACTTTAAAGAGGAGGTAAAAATGGCGATAAAACATTATGCAATGAAGAAACATCAAACAATTTTTGTGGTTGAGTCAAAAGCATCAACTCATTTTGTCAAGTGTGTGAATCATAATTCTGAGTGTCCTTGGAAAGTAAGAGCATTGCTACCCAAAAATTCAAATATGTGAAAAATTATGAGATGAGGTAGTGTGCATACGTGCATAAATACTATGATTTCTCAAGATCACAAGAAGTTATATTCAAATTTTATTTGTTCATGTATTATTGGTACGTGAAACTCAATTGAAATTATATTTATTTGTCTATTTAAAATGATTTTGATATGATCATTAGCTGAGACGTATTGTTTAATTTTATTGACAGGTATGGTCAAAGAAGAACCTTCTGTTCCAGTTTCATTAATCCAAGAGAGAATAAGTGGCCAATTTGGGTATTCAATTTCATACAAAAAAGCATGGAAAGTAAAGCAAAAAGCAATTGTGACAATATTTGGTGATTGAGATGAATCTTATGCAACATTACTAAGATGGTTAGAATGCATGCAATTACATGCTCCAGGGTCAGTTTACAAAATTGAGACCAATGATTATGTGCAAGGTAATGTAATGGATAATAGATTCAGAGTCTTTCATCGATTATTTTGGTCGTTTAGGTAATGTCGTGATGCCTTCAAGTTTTGCAAGCCTATAATACAAATAGACGGTACTTTTTGTATGGTAAGTATAAGCAAACATTGCTAATTGCTACAACTCAAGATGACAATAACAGTGTGCTTCTTATAGCATTTGCCATTGTTGAAGGAGAAACATTATCATTTACAAATTTAACAACTACATTTTTTTAATAATGTAAATTTATTAATTAATATATTTCATTCTTATTATTTCAATTTTATTTTGTTATAATTACTATTTTTTATTTTAGTAACATTCTAATAATCACATATAATTCTTCCTCATATATTTAGTTAATTTAATTATTTCATATTTTTCATTTTATTTATATTTCTCAATTAATTTATATTTATATATGTAAAAATTTTTGTTATTTTAAAATAATTATATTTGTATAACTAAATAATATCATTATTATTTTTACTTTTAAATACAATTTCTACATTAAAAAACAATAATATAATAAATTTTCATTTAATTATTTTTCTAATTTCTTATTTTTCTATTTTTATCTTTTTCCTATTTTCATTTTTCTCTAATTTTTACATGCAGAAAACAATAAATCACTAACCTTTTCACGTGAGAATAGGAATGGAAATGGTGGACTACCCGAAAGCCCCTGTAGCAATTTTTGCAATCTTCCTAAAATTAATTCTGCAACAAAAATGGATAACAAAATTAATTTTTTTTAAAAAATATATTCATTTTTATATCTAATATACAAAAAAGTAATTTATTCTTACCTTACAAAATTTAAAAATGGTAAATCATTCACCCCTGTGCATTTTTGTTTCCCAAATTTTGTTAAGCTCTTCGGTTTTTGAATGAAGAAGATGAAGCACCAAGGGAGAGAGAAGGAGGGGCGAGTAGGACCTCTTGTGCAGCAATGACAAGTGAACCACTAATTGTGTGTCGGTCCTGAATATACCGACACATTTGTCACCAAAAACAGCACCGACAATAAAGTTAGATCTAAACCATCCGACACACTAGGCAGCCACCACATGTTCAGTTTACAACCGTAGATCAATATTTTGAAAATTTATCTGTTAATTTTTTAATAGTATCGACAACAAGTTTGACGACACTATTAATTTTCAAAAAAAAAAAAAAATTGTATTTTTTGACACTACTTCCACCTAAGCCCAAACATGGTATTTGTTACAAAATAATCCTATTTGGGGAATTTGTTTCTCTTTTAACCTTGTTCGGGTAAAAAATCCACATACTACGCTGTTACCTTTTTTGACTTCTTCCTTTTTGTTATCATTTGGTTGACTCTATTTGTATCCTTTTTATTTTGAATTATTTTTAATTGTTTATGAATTTATGTTTATTATTTAATTTTTTTAATATGTATTTTAAAATATAAAACAAAAAATTAATAAAATAATATATTAAATTTTATAATAATATATAATTTTTGATAAAAAAATTTCAAAAATTATATATAAATTTTTATTTTGTGTCCTTAAATTATATTAGAAGAATTATTTATTTATTTTAGATTATTTTTATTTTATAATTTCAAGGAGATATTAATTATTTTTATTTATTTATTAGGAATAGTTCTTGCCAATTAATTATTACAATAACTCTAATATTATTTTAAGAGTAATTCTTGTTACCCAATTGCCATAATACCTCTAGTATTTTTAGTAGAGATATTTTAGTAAAATCAATTCATTTTATTATAGTAGTTAATAAAGTATTTTATTTTTGTTAAATCACAAAATCTAGAAGATAGAATTAACCTATTTTATTAGAAGAGAAATAGTATTTGTATAATTTTATTGTAAGTTGGAGAAATAAAAAGACGGAACAAAAGGGAGTAATATGATAGATAAATGTAGAAAAAAATTGTCGTTAAAACATTATAACCGTTAGTGAAGATCAAGCAGAAAATAATTATATAAATTGAAAATTCAATTCTCAGTTAATAAGAATCAAGACAGAAGAAAGATGCTTGATTGTAGCAAGAGAACATGTAGAATGATACCACGCTGATATACATAGATTCCCAATTTCATTATACAGTATACTACTGGAAGTGCGACAAATATCACTCTTATGTTCTTGATTCTTGTCATATACAAAGTGAAATATGAGCATATCATGGAGGACAAGTGAATCAAGCTTTTCATCTTCACCAATTTGCACTGTATAATTACTCACAACCAAAGTGATTTTGCACAATTCAAGCTTAACTCAACTCTCAATTAGCACGCCAATTAGTAGTGTGTCCGCACTCTGCACTTATTCAGGGAGAGGTGTTCTTCATTAGGCGCTTTTCACTGTCACATAAACAAATCACACACTGCTGAAGTGATCACTGAAGTGATCAGAGCATTGTTGAAATCTCAACAAATATATTATCATGCAAATCAACGAGCTTTTGAAGACACGAATGGAAACTTCATTAAACATCACCAAGATAATAACCAATCATGCATATAATAAGATGTCTATTGTCTCTTAAATGTTTGTCACTTTGGTTTTAGTGATTTTTGTTTGAAGTAGTCTTTTTTTTCTTATAACTATATTAATATTTTAAATAGTTTTTTAAAAATAGAAATAGACATTTCTTAGTGTATATAAAGAGAAATTGAAGTGTACCTTAAGACTCAATTAAATCGAAACCGGTTCTGTCCTCCCATTCTCATCCAAGACGAGTGAGACCAAATAGACTTGTCAAAGCAGGGATCAAAGTCAATGGTAAGGATGCTATGGTCTTCTAAGTTGAACACACGATTATCATAGGCCTCCGTGAAGTAGATGCAGTTTCCTTTATACCCAGTTAACTCTCTAGCTGAAACAGAAAAGTTACAACTATTACCCAAAATAAATGCTCTATCCCTCAAGTTCTTCACATCAACCCAAGTACCCCACTCTTCATCCAATTTATAAACCTTGAAGTATTCGACAACAGCATCACGATCAGGGCGTCCAAGGTAGTTTCTTCTTCTCGGGTCACCTTCATAGTACCTATCTACAACATAGAGACTCCCACATGACTCCACCAAATGCTTCTTGTTCCCAAACCCACACAAAGGAGGGGAAAATTGTACTAACTTCAAGGAAGAGGTATCAATCCATGAAATTGTACCCCAATTATCAGTGACATAAAACTGACCTTTGAACACAATAACATCATCATAGAAGAAGTTTTTGTCATCCACAAGAGTCCATTTCTCACCCCCGTGTTTCATAAACCCCAATTTACCCTCCATGAAGACACAACATGCCTCAGAATCCTCAACCTTAATCCAAGGAGAGTTAGGAAAAAACACAACTTTACTCACAGTGGTAGATAAACGCCCTGTGTTTTGAATGGTATATGATTTGCATAGCTCAATGATACGGTACTCCAACATGTTCCACAACATGGGAGAAGCTCCAAGAGGGTGCGCGATTTTGTGGTCAGAGATTGGACTAAGCAAACTCAAGGGACGGTTTTCAGATTCTTCAACCTTAATCAACCACCCTTTTGAAGAAGGTGCCAAAAGTTCCAATTTAGAGTTGGAGGTTCCATCACTCGGTTCAATAACATAGATGGTGGCTTGGTAAAGGAAAGTCTCTGTGGAGTGGTTGGTGGGGTGAGGTATTTGCATGGGAAAAGAAGGAGAATTTGGAAGAGAGGGAGGGATGGAAGATCGACATGATTCACACACACTGCGAAATTTGAGAATATCTATATTTTTGTCAAGAGATTTTCCAATCTTGGGCCACAGCTCTATGGGTAGTTCAGACCAATCTACCTTTTCATCCATGGCTTCAATCGGAGATTTTGGCTTTGTTTGTTGACTTTGCTTTGCTCTATGCCCTTGATTTTAACGGATCTTTATGGGGTTTTTATGAGAGGGTTGGTAAAGTGTCTCTGTTTGTAGAAGTCTACATGTAAATTTACACGAAGGTGAGAAGTAAGGGCAAGAGGAATGAAAAGCATTGGGAAGACTTGAATACTGTTAATTCCGTGTTGGCAAAGTTTCCCTTCTTAGTAGAATCTGGGAAGGACCCGGTGTTGACTTGATAATTCCTTTTATGTGAAAATATATAATAAAACTTTACATGTAATAAATTTATATTAAAAGTTATAAAATATTACTGTAAATATCTAATTTTATCTATATTTTTTTAAAAATAACTTTAAAATTAAAAATTAAATATAATGATTAAATTTTATAAAAAGATAAAAAAATAGATAAAATAGTTTATAAATTTTTAGGAGAGTGAATGAAAAAGAACAAATTGATTAATAATTATAAAAAAAATAAGGAATTATGCAAAGTTAGAGTTTTTTTTATCTAAATTAAAAAATATAAAAATGTATATTAAAAAGTTTCATAAAGTGCTTATGAATAAGAAACTTACATCTTTAGAAATAGAAAACTTTTTTTAGAAGTACGGTCAAATAAAAAAGAGAGAGAATTAAACTCTTTTAAAGATTATAAAAAAATAAAAGATAAGAGAAAACAGAGAGATTTAAGAGACAGAGAGGAAAAAGAAAGACAATTCAAGAAAGAACTTAAAAATAAAAAAAAGAGGAGGAGAGATCAGAGAAAATTATCAGAAAAAGCGCAAAATATACTAAAGCACATCTCAAAGTTGATTATAGGAAACAAATTAAAGGAAAGATCCAACTATAAAAGGACTAATATAAAAACTTTTATTAATAAGAGTTCTCTTTCTTATTTCTTCATTTGTCTTTCTTTTTGTTTATTTAGTGAGAGTTCTTATTCTTATTTCTTTGTTTGTTTTTAATTCTTTGTTTATTTTGTATGTTTCTCTTTTCTCCTTCATGATTTAACATTTTTTTATTGGTGTAAAAATAAATAAATAAATAAATAAAAGGAGGTAATTCAATAAAAATTCTTTCTTTTAAAAAATATCATAAGTCCTAATCATTTTTCTAATCCTAATTTTTTTTTTCTCTTTGTCAAACCCTAAAACAAATAAAATCCAAATCAACGAAAAAAATTTAATTATTTTTTAATCCTAAAATATTTTTTTTTTCAAACCCTAAAAAGAAAATTGTTATTCAATAAAAATCTCTCTTTTAACCTTGAAAATTTTATTCCCTTTTCAGATCCTAAAAAACATCCTAAATCAATAAATATATGTTTTCTTGAAATGCTAAACTAATTCAATAAAACATTTCTTTTTTTAGCCCTATAAGTTATATTTTAACCCTAGAAAACTATTTTTTTTTTACCCCCAAATCTTCCCTTTTTTTTTTTGCAAACTCTAACAAAAAATTAATATTTTCTAACCCAAAATACTTTTTTTTGCCGACTCTAAAAAATCATAAGTTTTTTTAACCCAAATAACTTTTTCCTTTTTCAAACTTTAAAATAATTTTGTACAATTAATTAAAAGATAACCGTTTTATTAATAGACATTGTAGTGTACTAATACTTTCCTTACGCTAAATGACTTCTGAATCCAAATCTAATTAATTTTTTTTAGTGTTTTTTTTAAGAAATTTTGGTGGCAATTTTTTATCATTAATTTTTCTTTTAACTAATTTCAACCCTTTTCTATATTCTTCTTTTTCTCTATACAATGGTCGAACCCTTATAATTTTGGTTGTGACAGTTACATAATTTAATGTATAACAATATTAAATGTTATATTTTAATAAATTTTAATTTTAATTAATTTTTAATCTATTATACAATTTTACAGATTAAAAAACTAAATAATTGAAGCCACGAAAAACAGATAAATCAAAATAAAGATTTTATATATATGGTTCAAAATCTACATGCCTAACGCTCTATAAATGTATATGTATTCATTATTTATAATGATGTAGATTCTAAAAAAATTACACAGTCATGTAATTATAAGTTATAGTATGCGTTTCAACTTTAGATGGATAAATTATTTAAATTTGTCGTCAATAATATATATATATATATATATATATATATATATATATATATATATTTGGAAGATTTAAAAAATTATTAAAAAAAATAGCATTTTAATTTTATCACGATAATAATAATAAAAAATTAAAATTTGAAAACTAGAAAAAAATAAGAGTAAAAGTTAAATTGTAAGTAATAATTAGAATAAGAATGATATTATTAAAAGATAAAATTATTATTTTAAAAATTCAAACAATAAGAATTGTTATCATGAAAAGTATTAAAAAGGAAAATGTCATTTATATATTGTTTAAAATTTAAGATAAGAGATAAAAGAAAAACCTTTATTTGCAAAATTGTAATTACATTGCGTGTATAGACATGACAAAACAGGTTATTTCACTCACTGAGACTACTTTATTGGGAGCATTGGCATTTAGCAAGTCAGGTAAAAGAAGTCTAAAATTAATTTAGATTTGCAAAAATGATGCTTAAAATGGGAAAATTTTATTTATTCATTTATTTTTGTAAATTTTACAAGTATATCAATGTCATGGAAATTTAACTTTTGCTCTTAATTTACGAATAATAACATGGAACTTGATTGAAGTATGTTGAAAAGGAGATGAATTGTGTTAAAATTGCATAGCACTAGAATTTGAGAATAAATGTTGGGCATTCAACATAGGGTGAATTAATGCAAGTTGGAGCTAAAATTATGTTATTAATAAATCTAAGCCATTTTTTATTCAATGATGATTTATTTTAATTTTTTTTTATGAAAATATTAGGGTGAAGTATAATTTTGAGAGGGATTACTTGAGGTATTATCTTTGTTCTTGAATAAATGTAGCAATTACAACTCTAATACTATAATAAGAAATATAATTAGATGAAATTTAAAGCTTTGTTTTAGAGTAATTTTTAGAGAAAGAAGAGAGGGAAGAATAATATTTATTTGATGGTAACTCTTATTTAAAATTTTTAAATATGATGATGAATTTTTATGAATCCTTCTAAATTAGAAAAAAAAAATTGTTAGTTTTTTTTTCTATTTTTGTCTCTTTCCTTATTCGGCTCATCCTTCATTATTGTGAAGGTTCAAAATGGAGGAGAAAAAGGAGATGAGAGAAAAATGAATAAAGTACTTTTACGATGAATCAATCAAATCAAGTTGTCTTGTTAGATTAATTAAGATATGTTATGGCAAACCTAACAAACTTATTATAATTGAACTAACAAAAAGCTAACATCATAATAGAACAAATACTTAGCTGACATAAATTAAGACTCTAATATACAAAATACAAAGTGGAGAATATTGATCTAAATACGATTCTTGATACTCAGCTTCAAACTCATTTTGAAAGAAGATGTAACAGTGAGTTTAAACCTTAATTATAAAAAGATTGTAGTAGAAGTTGGTTTTGTTAGCAAGTCAACAATCTAAAATTTGGAAGGAGTGTGTCTAATACAAATTTCTCCACTAGTAGCCTTTTCTTTGACAAACCAGAGATCTAATTTAAAGTGTTTAGTTTTGTTATGGAGAACATGATTTGTTGTAAGAAGAATAGCACCTTGGTTGTCACACCACACCAATGGTGCTTTGGTGACTTTGATGTGCAATTCAGTTAGCAAGGATTTTATGTAGCAAATTTCTGCAACTAAGGATGCTAAGCTGCGGAATTCAACTTCAGTGCTGCTTTTTGACATAATTCGTTACTTCTTAGCAGTCTAGGATACTATATTAGAGCAAGATAGACACAAAATCCTGATGTAGTTTTCATATAGAGGGCTCGAAAGCCCAATCACTATCACAGTAAGGTGTAATATATAAATTTTCTGATTTCTTCAGTTGAAGGCCAAAATGTATTATCCCTACTAAGTATCTTAGAAGACTTTTCAGAACCTTCCAGTGATCATTAAGAGGATTATACATGTATAGACAAAGCTTATTCATAGTATAAGAAACTATCATCAAACAAGTTAGTGCCTTCTGCAAAAAGCTTGGAGAAATTGCCATAGGTGTTTTGATTGCCTTTATTGAATTCATTTTCAGTTTAATTAGGATATCACTAATATACTTAGACTGATTGAGATGAATGCCCCTTTTTGAGTCAGTTTTTGCTTCTATGCTAAGAAAATAGTGTAGAGGGCCTAAGTTTTTGAGAGAAAAGGTAAGTTGTAATTTCTGGATAAGATTAGTGATGGCTTCCTTTGAATTACTTGTTATTAGGACATTGATGAATCCATATTTTGTTAATATTTTACTTATCTTTTTAATAGATTTTTAATGAAAAAATGAAGTTAGAAAATGTAAATACCATAAAAGTTTCAATTATGTCATTTATTCCAGCTTTCTTAATTTTGGTTCAATTTACATAAATTTTGTAATTATCTTTTGCAATTCTACTTATTAAAAGAATTGTACAGGAATTTTTGGACGATAATTCATGCGATTTAAGCTCTTAAGAGAAAATTGGGTTAAAGTAATCACTTCTAGCACCTAAAGTAATTACTCTAGTAAGCTGCTTCAAGATTCAAGGGAAAGTAATCACTTCCAACACTGAAAGTAATCACTTTAGAGCCAATTCCAAGAAGTAAGCTTGTGCATGTTTACTATCACCAATGATAGAGATCACTACAAATAGTAATTCAAGAGAAGAAGTTGCGCGTAATCACTTTTACTATTCATAGTGATTACGTGCAAGCCTATCTAACCAACGAAGCTGCATGTGTTTACTCTCATTAGATATAGTAGTTATGCGCACTAAAAGTGATCACTATAGAAAGGAAAAAGTGTATGGAGCTACGCGTAAACACTTTCAATAGTCAAAGTGATCAATCTAGGAAGTATTACCCTTACTATAAATCGATTTTCACTTATAGGATAGGGATTTTCTTTCATTTTTATTATACTTTTCATTTACACACTTTGCATAGGCTTAGGTTAGGACCCTAGTGGCTACCAATGGTTCAATTTAGGGTTTCTTTCTTAGTTCTTCTTTTCTTCCACTTACTTTCAATTTTTCTGGTTTGTGCTGAACAT